AAATTTATTCTTGAAGGATGAATTCTACGTATTTTACTTACTTTTATTTACATGGAGCTTTCTTTCCCATTTTGACATAGTGGCTCAAGTTTAATACAGTTTCTTTAAAGTGGCTTTTCTAAGTTTTCTTGTGTTTTCTTGGAGATTTTCTTATTGTAGCATATGTGAAACGTTAATAAATATGCATAGAATTGGAACAACTGATGTGATGCAAAATGTCAGTAACCTAACTGAATTAGTATAAGCATACAGACTTGTGGAATGACCTTGAAATAACAGTGTCTCTGACATTGATAAACATTTTAGAATATTTTAGCTTCTTTTTATATTAGATAATTGATACCACATTAGTCATACTGGTGTTGAATTTTCTCTTTCTAATGAATTACTCATCCGTCTAAATCACTGTTCAGTCTCTCTCCTCTTTGTGAAGATCCACTGGTTTTTGGAAACATGCTGTTTCTTTCTGAGCAATCATCTTCACTTCCATGGTTAATCATAAAACTCCTAATCAATATTAAAGGGACCTTATTTGTTTACTCACAGCGGTTCTCATTTTGCATGTTTGTGGAGGAAAGCATGTGTTTGATGCCTACTTTTCATAGGTTGAGTAATATGTGATAAATTTAACAATATGCAAAAGGCTTGGAAGAGAATTCTACCCACTTAGACTCATTCCAGTAATTTTGCAACTCAAAACTACTTTCATGAGCAGCAAAAACTGTGAAATTTGCGTTCCTGTGGCACTGTGCCTTGCGTATCCCTTGGGTTTAGTATTATGGTGGAGCATGCACTCTACTGTCTTCTTCAGGAAGAGCTCTGGTTTGGATTTTATCCCTTTACCATGTTACCATTTTGTAACGCTTGTAAAACTAAACAGTTTTGAGACTAACAATTTTCTGTCATATTTGGGTTGAAATCAGACTACAAATTTAACAGTTACTGCAGTGGTCTAACCAGATGCATATGACCACAAAGACTTTCTTCAGTTAAAACACAAGCTCAAAAATAGTGGTTTATAGCACAAATAAACTGAAAGGTATAAATAGCTACAAGTATTCTGACCATAATTTGATGATGCTGTTACTGAAAAAAAAAAAGATGAATACTTCAGTGTTCTGAATGCCAAATTCCAGTAATGGACATTAAAATGTAAAGTTCTTTTCCCCATGTCTTGTGCTTATCTCTGACATCTTAAGTAATGATGGAAGCTTGGTCAGATTTTTCCATATAAATTGTGTATTTCTCAGCTTTTTACGTACAATCACTGGTGGTACAAACACCTGCATCTCACTTTAAGAATTTTAATTTCAAGGGCAGTGTTGTAATTCAGACATTTTAAACAATTTCTTTGTGTCTTTTAAATGTTTGCTACTCTAGCTTCATCGGAGAAGAATCTGTTGCAGCTGGAGAGGGCAGCATTTTGACAGATAACCCCACATGGATTATAGACCCTATTGACGGAACTACCAACTTCGTACACAGGTCCACCTTTAATTTTTTTTGTGTTAGCAACTTCAGCTGATTACCTTTTTTCTTTCTCCAGTTCCATGAGAGTAAGGTTTTTCCACTTTTAAACATCTTTAAAAGAGATAATATGAACTTGTTAATAGTTGCAAATTGCTATTTGCATTTATTGACAGCTATTGGGCAGGTTTTGTCATCACTTTAGCATTTCTGTAAATGTTATAATAGTCTCACTCTGTAACCAACAGCAGTTGTTCCATGAGAGGCCTGTACTATATAGCAGGGGTCAGCAGCCTTTGACATGGGTGCCAAAGATAGGTGGGTAACAGGACTCAGAATTAGCAGTTGCAGCATCTTCAGAGAGGCTTTGGTGTGAAACAATAACAGCTCCAAGTGCGGATTTCTAAGAAATTTCAAATTCATTGAGATCTGGGAGCCGCTACCATGAAAGAAAGCAAAATATCACCAGTGATTGTCTAGTGGTATTTTGCACGAGGATAAGAAGGGGGCTTTCAGTGTAATGCTGACTGCCTATTCCTTCTGTCTTCGAAACATGATAGATTTTGGCCCTGATGAGCTTTTCTGAGGGTACTTGATTCCAGTTTTGAAATGACTGTCGATATGTGCGCCACAGCTGCTGAATCCTGCTAAGTAACATCTTCAAAAAGCTATAAGAACAGAACTCGTTTTGCTGGATTTATAGACTTAAAAGTGAATATTTTGCAGATAGTAAAGCAAATGTTTTGGAGCTGCAAATTTTGAAGAGTAAAAAATAATAGTAATAAAAAAATTAATTGGTTGATTGCTAAAAACTTAGACTGAGATGCAAGCCCACCATGTCCTATATACTCCCACTGCCTTCACTCTTCCCCCTGCGTTCTTCCTTCTCACTTCAATATCTGTCTGTCTTGTTGCTTTGGTGGAGAAAGTGGACGTGGTGGGAGAGAAGTGACTTGCTTTTTTTGATGAGACCATTTTGGCCAGCATGTTCCTTCTGAGAAAGGTTAGTAGCATAGAGGCTTGCTTGTATTCTTTGGCTAGAAAATGACAGTCCCTAAGCTGCAACAGGCTTAGTTTCAGTGGGTGGAAAAGTTTGTATTTTAAATGGTAATCCGTCTTGTTGGGTCTATTTTCATAGTAAATTTTGCAAGTTCCAGAAAACTAATATTTCCTGTATAGTCCAAGTTTCCTTTTGAAATATACATTACATTTAACTGAACATTGTTTTTATTAAGAGTAAGTGTGGTAAAGAAAGAAGCATAGTATCTCACTATAAATTAGTGAAATGTTTTGTTTTGTAGGTTTCCATTTGTGGCAGTTTCAATTGGCTTTGTTGTAAACAAAAAGGTATATTTTTTATTACTTAATACCTGATCAATCAAAACCAAATTAATTCTTTGTTGCTAGTTATAACTAAGATCTGTATTTTCATAGTAAATAGGAAGAAAGGGGAAAAACCTCAAGGAATCTTTACTTTTTCTTGCAGATAGAGTTTGGAATTGTGTACAGTTGTGTGGAAGACAAGATGTATACTGCCAGAAAAGGAAAAGGTGCATTTTGCAATGGTCAGAAACTTCAAGTATCAGGCCAAGAAGGTAAGCTGAACTGAGCAGCTTATTTCTAGTAATTACATTTATTTTGCAAATGAGGCATCAACAGTTTTAGACCTGGATATATTACTGTTTCTTAGCTCATAGTTTTGGTTTGCAGAGACAGGCTTTTTTTGGCCGTGAGTTGTTCAGTTTTGAGAAACAGCTTTTATGTTCTCTTTGATGCATACAACATGCTTGTGATCTTTGCAAAATCAAGACTCAGCAATTGAAGATTGCTGATTCCTTGTGTGTCTGTGTGTTGTAGTTTTTTGTTTGTTTTTAACTCTTTGTATGTCTGTAATCTATCTGTGATTGTTCTTTAGAGTCTGTTACAAATCTACCAAACAATTCAACTTCTTCAAAGTGTAAACTAGTGGTTTAAATCAGTGTCACTCTTGTATACTTACTACCCTATGTAAAGTAAAATTCACACTTAAAGTGAGACCTTTAAAGATCTGAGGACTGTTCTAATTTTTATAGCAATAGAATTTTGTTTACTAATGGCATTGATTGATGTATATGCACAATTGAACTAGATCATGCATTGTTTGCTGTGTTTTATTTTTTCCTGACATTTTCTGTGTAAAAACAGATTTTTATACATTCAATTTATGTAATATTTATATTAAAATGCCTTACTTTTATTCAGTCTTTTAAGAAAGCAATGAAGTAAAGTCTAATAATTACTGTTATAATATAAGTTGTACTGTTGGAAAAGTGAGGTTTTTTTTTCTTTTCCAGACATTACAAAATCCCTTTTAGTGACAGAATTGGGATCAAATCGTGATCCAGAGACTATAAAAATAATTCTATCTAACATGGAAAGACTTCTCAGTATTCCTATTCATGGGTAGGATACTTCCTATTTTTTATATTTACTGATAGTGTTAATATTGTAATAATTAAATACAATCATTTTTAGGAAGGATTGGTTGCATTACATTTGACATCTTAAATGTGAAATATGATTTAAATATTTTTGTCTCATAACTTCTGCAGAGAAACTCTAAGTGTGTTTAACTTTTTCAAGCTGGGACATATATAAGAGAACCCTCACAATCAGTATTGAGAAGCAAACCATATTTGTTTTTGTAGGACTAGAAAGTATTGTATTTACTAGTTAAAAAAATGAAATACAATTGTGTGCCTTTTTTTCCCCAGAAACACAAAAGGAGTAAAATTGGATAGACAGAAGCTATATTACATTTCTTAGTTTCCTTTCCCTGTAGTAATGAAAATCGTTGGGTTTTTTTTATATATATCAGAGGATAAAAGTAGATCTCCCTTTCCGCTTTCAACACTGTGCAATTTTTTTTTTAATCTGTCCAAATAGTTGAAATTGTCCATAAACTGCTCTTACTTTGGTTACATTCCCTGCTTCCTCTCCTCCAGATGAGCCAAAGCCAGCATTTCCACAAACAATTTTACATCTAAAGGTGGTTTCAGTAGTTAGTTTTTTGTTATTCAACGCTACTCATGTTTCTGATCTAAAAGGGGTTGTAGTTTTATGCTGAGATTCTCACGATTCTTGTTTTAACACTTAACGTAGTTTTTTTTTTTCTACTTTCAAAAAGTCTTCTGATGTCATTAAACAATACATGCTAAATTGTAGGTGGGGAATACGTTTTAGGTATGTTGTCAGTTCAACTTTGATATTTTCTTTGTAAACAATAAATTGAAATTTGAGTTGTTTCTTACAGTAACATAGCTGCTATCAGTTACAATTTAATGTATGTTTTACTGATAGTTGAAATAACTGCAATTATTTGTACAAGTCACACTTACTAAATGCATCAACATTTCCAAAAGAGACTGGAATTTGTAAAACAAGGGTTTTGATGAAGTTATTCAGACCAAGTTTATGCTGTGGAATTTATTTTTTGTGATTACTGCTCTTAGGGTTTTTTTGCAAGTCTGAGATGCTTACTGAGCATCACCAGAGAAACTGAAGTAACTGTTTTTTCAATGCTGAGGACAGTGTACACTCTACATGAATTTTTGTATTCAAAAAGCAAAGTAGAATATCTAGTAATTGTTTCATCTTCCGTAATATATTTTAGGTTAAGAAGTTGTTTAACTTGTGTTTGCACTCTAAAACAAAATTGTTTACCAGAATTCATAAATGTAATTTCTGGAAATTTGCTATATTTGGAGAGCTCTTCAAGCTCTACTAAAGCAACACGTCATTCCCAATTTTTTATTTGTTTCACTACAGCGTTCCATCACACTTTCTCTAGCTCGGTTCACTCTGCGTATGCTGCTTCTGTGTTCTCTCTGCACTGTAGACAGACATTGTGACTGTCTTGCAAACTGTTCTCAATTAAAAAAACCAACTATGTCTCTTCTAGGATTAGAGCCGTTGGTACAGCAGCTGTGAACATGTGCCTTGTGGCAACGGGTGGAGCTGATGCCTATTATGAAATGGGGATTCACTGCTGGGATATGGCAGGGGCTGGAATCATTATTACTGAAGCAGGCGGAGTACTGCTAGATGTATCCGGTAAATACATGGGCATGCATGATACTCTTTCATCCTTTTAAATAGCTAATTGGGAGTAAAACATAGCTGAAATGAGAAGGCAAAGAGGTTTTTCAGTCCTCTTTCCAAGTTAGCACTACTGAACAGAGTTCCCATCCAGTTAATAGATGAAGAGAGAGTCAATCGTGTGTTCTTAAGCTACAAGACAACCTTTACTCCCTTGGCTGAGCACCTGGAAGAGTGAAGACAGACAGTAAACATACACTGAAGAGAATTTAAATGTAGCTCACATGAGATACCTGTTGTGTTAAATGCATTTTTGTCCAGACGCAAAGCTTGGTCCTAAATAGTAATGTATCATTTACACTTCATGTTTTTCAATGCTCATTTTCTTGCCAACTTTCAATTTTCTCCAGATGCAAGCTAGTTACTTTGTTTGCTTTGATTTCTAGGTGGACCATTTGATTTGATGTCTCGAAGAATAATTGCAGCAAGTAGTCGAGCTATAGGAGAGAGAATAGCCAAAGCACTTCAAATAATTCCTCTGAAAAGGGATGATGCAACTAACTGAATACCAAAACTACACCTATGTAATTATGTAATGTTGTCTTATACTCCCATGTGGTGGTTGTTCTACACCTTGAACCTGATAAAAAGATAGATAAATAGCTGTTAGTCTTTCAGTACTGGTGTAACTGCTAAGTAGTGTTTTGAGATTGGGCAAACATTGTAAGTAAGCTTTTACTGTTAGGTATTTTATTTAACTTCACAATTACTTAAAGATCTATAAAAAGAAGCAAATGTATACAACTAATATTTTCAAGTTTTATACTACACTGGAAAGCAAGAGACTCTTGGATGTAGAGATAAATAAAAATTACTAGTTCCATAAGTGACAAAACAAAATTTACTGTCTTAACACCACATCATCGCATCTGATCCTGAACCCAAAAAGATGAGGCGTTACTGGTTATCCAGTCTTTCTCTGTCTGGTCTGTCGTTTTCTTCAGTGTCATCACGTATCCATTTCCTTACATTGTTACAGTTTTTGTAGCAGTAGTTCACACATTTCCAAACTTTTTTTAGTTGCTTGTAATTTTGGCTCTAATTTAAAGTCTTTGTTACTTAGCTGTCACTGGTTTTGTAGTCATCATTCTACCGTTCACATGGTAGGTAAACACAATCTCTCCTTTAGCCTCCTATGTGGCCAGTATGTTTGCAAATTCATTACAGTTGCAAAACTAATAAGTTATTGTGCCAGAAAATATGTGCATCTCCCAGGAATAAGTTCTGAGCACACCTTCTATCACCAAATAGACTTAATCTAAGTAAGTCTTGGCAGTTATAATTCCTGTTAATTTTGCTTGGATTTCTCCATGGATGAGTGTGTTTCAAAGTCTAAGGAATAATTAAAATCCAGGATAATTTTCAGCAACTCAGCTGACAAAAAAATAAGCCCACAGTTCAGATTTTTTTTACGTAATGTTCTATAACTTGTGAAAGCAGTGACCAATCTGGATCAGGTTTCCATTGTGTTATAGAGGCACAAAAGAAGGTATGTAACTAAACCTGAAGGGTTTATGAATCTAAGAAATATTAGTAATTTCGTTCTTGGTATCATTTGTTTTAAACTTCAAAAAATATACTAGCTTTTTTTTAATTTTTGTATTTAAGATTGTTAACAGTATCAGTGTACTGTTCAAATAATTAATGCACTTTAAAAAAAAGATTTAACTTAGATCAGTTTTTAGACTGAGTTTTTGGTGTCTAATGTTTCCTAAAGTTGTCTCATTGGTGGTCCAGTCAAGACACAGCAATGCTTTGGAAAACCTGACTTTTTGTGCTGCTGTCCCACTATTTTTATTTTGGAAAATGGTATTCTCTGTCTTGAAGTTTCAACAGATCTCTTATTATAAATTTCACTCTTTTATATCAGTTGATTTTTGCAGATTTTGCAGAAGTATTTAATTTGAAGTTGTATCAAATGCCAAATGATCAATGCCAATGAGATCAGCCTGCTATTTAATAAAAGCCTCTCAAAAAGCCAGACTTACGTTAATTTTACTTTTTAAATTATCATTGTCAAGGATAGAAACTTTTTGAACATTTCACTGTAACTTTATTGCTGTAAATGATATGAGATCATCATTATTTCTTGAGAAGTATGTCTACCATTTCTGTGGCTTTTGTATAACAAATTCTGCATAACTTTTTTAAACTGATTTATTTGTCAAATGGAGACATGTCTAAAAAATACTTGAGATGGGAGAACACACTCAAAATAAATATGCTTTAGCAGCAGCAGTTTTAGATGTGCTTCCTTTCTTAACATTCATCAGAGTCTAATGCTGGGTCCCCACAAGCTGGATTTGTGGGCTTCAAACTTTCTCTGAGTTGAACACTTTCTCTTCTTGGCCTCTGATGTACATAGATCATAAACTGTTGTGCCTTTAGATAAGTGGGATTATGTATACACCTGCAGCAGGTTTTTAGAGTGAATATTCTAACAGCTTCCAATGAGATCGTGGTGTATTAATCATTTCCAATCTCAGTGCTCAAATTTTACGGATGCTCTTGCCTGTGATTTGTTTTGGAGGACCATCACCTCCAAAAGCATGCAGCATTCTCACTGTTAGCTTTTCTAATAATGTTCTTCAAGGAAAAATTTGTATGAATTTCCCTCTTGGCCCTCTCACTCTGTTTGTGTTGGAGACCAGTCCAATTTTTTTTTTTAATCTATAAATGACAGTATTTATCAGCCTGCTTTCTTTTTAACTTCGGTCTCCCTTTCAAGGGGATCAGAAATCCCTTTTGTTTGCTACTTTGCTAAGCATTATCTTCTCAGATAACTCTTCATGTAATATGTGGCCACTTCTTTTCGTCATGTGAAAGGACACCGAAATGTAATTATTAAGTTTAAAGACATTTTGGTTTTGTGTTAGCCTGGAATTTTGGCAAATTTTTGTAATAAGTGTTTTTTATAGTAAAACGCAGAAGTTGTGATTGCTGTGTAATCAAATTGCTTTTGAGAGATTATATATGAGAGGTAGTTTCTGAATGTTCAGAACAATAAACCACCTTGTTTTGTTGCTTTGAAAGATTTAAATATATATATATAATTTAAGATGATAATCTCTGCCACTCCATCTAAGATAAAGTTATATATTTACAAGATACCTTTTTGCTGGGCAGTGAGACAATCAGAAAGGAGAACCAGTTACCACATATTGAACAGATAGACTGTCAAATTAAGATCATGAATATTCCTCGTGAAGACACCAACAGTCCAGTATACAGGAAGCTTTCTCACATAGCTTTCCAGTGAACAAGTCCTGACTTCAGCTGGCAAATTCTGCTGTGGTTTGAATCTCAAGTCTAAATGAAGAAACACTCAAAACTTACAAGTGCAAGAAGGAGGAGATCAGGCAGACCGATTCAGTAACTGGAGCAAGTGAAAAATTCCAAGAAATACAGCTGGAAATTAAAGGACCATATGGGCAAATTTAACCAGTCCCCTCACCTTTACTTTGAGAATTTATAGAATAGAATTTGACTGAATGGTCAACATCATTACTAACTATAGTTGCTACAGACCCCACTGCTATTCTTAACAAAGATCTTCAGAGTAGGGGTACTGATTTTTAGCCCGAGACTAAAACAATCAGTACTACAAAACGAGTAATACTGATTTTTAGCACTGATAAGTATGAAAAAGGGGAGGTAGCCTTAGCCTCCTGTCCTGGCTATCAGCCCTGTCCACTAGTCTGCTCCATTTTATTGATTTGTTGGTAGTTTGTTTTCTATGACAACCTGCAAAGCTTTGCTCCTTCAAAGCAGGGTGTTCTGGTAGATTCAACCCTTCAGTGCTTTTCCCAGCATGAAATGTTGCCAAAGACAAAGTCATAAAAGTCTTCAGGCTCTCGTTCAGCCCTGTTAAGCAGCCCTCGGGAAAATCCCTACCGCCCCCCCAACGAAATACAGACTATTCCTCATAATATCTGTGGCCCAAAGCTAGGGTTTTAATTCTGCATAGTCTAATGCCTAGGTGTGAACTAGACATTCTGACTAGATATAAAACATCAACCTGTGACCTTAGTATGAAGCAATTTAAATAAGGGAGATCTCTTTCTTTTCCTGAGCTGCTTCCCATCCTCTCAAAGCCAGCTGCTAATCATCTCTATTCATTCCTGTGAGTGAAGTTAACTGCTTCACGAGTCGGATCCTGTTGCTAAAGCGCTGACAGGCAACTTTCCAACAGCACATTGTTTTTGGATCTACAGCAGTTGGCATGGCTTCCTTTGTTTGCACAACCTGCAGGCTTCAGGAGGATATTGTCAGTGCTGTGACGTCTCAGGAGTCTCTGCCAGAGTCAGCCAGATCTCCCGGACAGCATAATCCATTCGATCTCTGGATTACTGCTGGTCCTGCACCAAAAGTGACAATGAATGTAGTCTGTCACATCACTCTTTGGTTTGTACAATCTTCACATCACTTCCCAAAGATCAGCAGGAGCTTCTGAAGTGTCCTCTGTGCCCACTGTCTGCTGCCTGCCTGCTACAACGACAGGGCAAACAAAACCTGCCACACTTCAGAGCCACGTGCAACATCCAGAATGAGCAAACTGGAGGACTGGCACTGTATTAAAAAGCTACAAACACTTCAAAGCAGCCCAAAATACAACAGCAACTACTGTACCACGTCAGTAGGAAAGAACAGAAGCCTGCCCGGTTTTGTGCAGTGCAAGATGAAGGTTTATGTTTTGTTATGTCTGGCCTTAGCTCAGCGGTGACCATGCTTACAGCCACGTAAAGCAGTTAATTCAGAGGAAGTGATGTTACCTCAAATACTTGAGAACTACTTTCATAGCAGCTCTTTCTCAGCTTGCCGTGTTAAATCTCCCTCCTCTGCTGTCCCTTGAAGAGATGCGCCTGTACTCTTTACCCTGCCTCTGACACGGGTGGGGTTCAGTCTCGGAGAAGCCTCACGCAGGCTCAAAATAAGCCGCGCACCTCTCCCGGCCTGACGAAACACTAGATGGCAGCCGGAGCCAGCAAAACACCAGAAGGCCCAGGATTCCTTTTTTTATAGGTGAGATTCCCTTTTCCATTCCCTTCCCACCCTCCTTCTGCTCTCTGTAACTATTGTTGGATACGACTAAAAGCATATCTGAGAATTATTCAAAAGAATTGTACCACAAATTTTTGAGGACTTGGGCTCTGTGTTTCTGTGACTTGACAAGAAATTTGAAATAGGACTTGTGTCAGCAGCATTAACTTTCCCTCCTTTTTAATGTAAGTATATTGAAGATTGTGGTATCTATCCCAAGAACATGAATCGGAATTCTAAAATAAGATAAAAGCCCTACAAATGATCACATTATACTGCATTTAAGGCTGTAGTCATTTCCCCTAGATTTTCGCTGTCATAAATTAGGACATGCCTTTTAGAAGCCTTTTCTTAAACCTACCGGATAATCTTCTGGGCAATCATGCATCAATTTGTATGCAGATACAACAGCCCTGGGACTGCAAATCCAGACACAAATGAGCAGCTCTTTATGATCTGTGAGAT